ATGCTATTTTAGTAACTTTTTGGTTTTTTAGCTAAAATATGAAGTTAAAAAAAAAATTAGTATGTTTGAAATGACTTTTGGTTTTTCACGAAAAGATGTGCAAAAAGTAGAGAGAAAGGATAATATTCGACTTTTTGATATAAGTTGTTGGCTTTTCAAGTTCTTTTTATGACTTTTTGACTTTTAAACTAAAATATTATTTTGACTTTTATGAGTTCATGATCAGGAAAAAGAAAACCCTCGATATAATAACCTGAATACCAAAATTATCGACTTTGGAATTGTTCACGGCCAGAGATGAGTTAAATGGCATCTAGTATTATCGATGAGAAGAATCAACCCTCAACTGAGAATCATGAGAAGCGGTATATATGAGTATGGGTTTACTGCAGTAGTGGTATTTTAAATAATAGTTCATATAGCTGTACGTGGCCTTGAACTGGCGGAGTATTGAGTCCTTAAGTAATGTTTGCTCTCAAATTTCTCTCTTAAGCTTTATAGATTTCTAGTTATTAGGAGTAGAATAATCTCACTACTTTATTTGGAAGCAGGTTAGTTGGAGCTTTTAGCAGTAGTTTGATGAAAGGAGAGAAAAAAAATTCGTCATTTGGAAGATCCAACAATTGTTTATAGAAGAATCCCACTGTTGCATTTGGATAACATAACATAAGGTTCCTCTTACTTTCTCATTCTGTCTTATTGACAAATAGTTTTAACTTGCAAAAAGAAACTGACAAAGGAAGATGTTGCTCTGTTCCGTAGTGCTGTTACAAAGGATTACTACTTCCAAATGTACTATGACGACTTGCCCGTCTGGGGTTTCTTAGGGAAGGTTGACAAGGATGGCAAAGCTGACCCCAGCGAGTACAAATATTTCCTATTTAAGCATCTTCATTTCGAGATCCTTTACAACAAGGATCGAGTCATTGAGATTAATGTACGAACTGACCCTAATGCCCTTGCGGACCTTACTGAGGATAAGGAAGTTGATGTAGAATTCATGTACACAGTGAAAAGGTGTTCAAATTGGAACTAGATGGCGCGTTCAAAAGTTTTGAAACAGAATGTGAAATATTGCGCAACATTCGCCACCGAAATCTCACCAAAGTCATTAGCAGTTGCTCAACCCTTGATTTTAAAGCCCTCGTGCTTGAGTACATGCCTAATGGCACTCTAGAAAAATGGTTTTATTCTCATAACTATTTCTTAGATATACTGCAGAGGTTGGACATAATGATAGATGTGGCTTGTGCCTTGGAGTATCTTCACCATGGTTATTCAGTGCCTGTGGCTCATTGTGATTTGAAACCAAGCAATGTGTTACTAGATGATGATATGGTTGCACATGTGAGTGATTTCGGCATTGCAAAGTTGTTAGGCGTGGGGGAGAGCATTGCACAAACAAGGACAATAGCAACATTTGGATATATTGCACCAGGTGATGCTTCTATCTTACAATTCATTTTCATGTCTATGCTTTCATTATTTTTAATTCATCTATTTGTTTCGACAAAAAATATACTTCCTTTTTTTTTCAGATAGAAAATACTTTCTTGTGTTTGATTGAGATCTTGAAACTTATGTTTTAGTGATGGTGTTAGTGGAGGTGGTAGGGTGATATGGTGGTAGCGGTGGTAATGGAAGTGTGCCGCAACTGAAAATACTTTATTTTGCAAAACATTTTTTTGCTCAAATAACATTATTTTTTGTTGACTAGGAAAATGTTTGTATTGTCTTTCGTGTTCCATCATACCAAACGCCAGAAAATGCATAAAACATTTTCAGTCGACACAAGCAGAGGGTTAAGTTTCAATTTAAGTTTATGATAAATTATTCTACTTTACTCACCATGTTACTTCTCATGAATGTAATGTAGAGTATGGACAAGAAGGATTAGTCTCGACAAAATGTGATGTTTACAGTTATGGCATCATGTTGATGGAAACATTTACAAGAACAAAGCCCACTGATGCAAGATTCGATGGAGGTTTGAGTTTGAAGTGTTGGGTGGTTGATGCATTGCCTAATGCAATAGTTCAAGTTCTAGATGCCAACTTGCTTAGGCAAGACATTGAACCCAACAATGCAAAGGTGCAATGTGTGTCATCTCTTATGCAATTGGCTTTGAATTGCTCTGCAGACTCACCTGAGGAGAGGATGATCATGAAGGATGTCCTAGTATCAATCAAGAAGATCAGACTTCGGTATGTTGAAAATTGTAAATAAACTTAAGAAGAAATAATTTCTTCCACATTATTATGTTTGTGATTTTCGAAATTAATAAGCGCATCCTTGGATGTTGATTTAACTTTAATGTTATTTATGTATAGTCCTAAATCTTTAAGCAAATTTTTGGGCTTGCTTTATTGATATCATAATCATAGTTAATTTAGTTTTGAAATATAAGTTAGATTAACCATTAAGCTTGACTTTGTGAATCCATAGACTTGGTTATTGGCTTTGGTCCTTAATTTTTTTTCCTGGATATAGTTGCATTTTGGTGCATTTTGCTATAGATTCTTGCACATTAGAACTAGAACCGAATTTACCAAATATATAAATAATTTATAAACAAAAAATTCATAAAAAACTGGGGTAGCATGAAATGCCTTCAAAATATAACCATAAGTTCAATCCAAATATATATAAATAACTGTATGAATCAAAGAGTAAAGTCCTTTCATTTCATAATGTTAATAATACAAAAGAGTTTAACATAAATAAATGTCCTTAAATGCTTACACCTTTCCAAGTCTTGACTTGGATACAACAAAAGTGAGACTAGCTCATACAATTAAAACCCTAGGCTATACAAAAATGAAACAAAACAAAGAAGCTCTTACTTCCCAAAAGTCCCTTCAATGCTATTGCCTTGGTGGAGGCATGCTGTTGGCTTATTTTTCCTACGAAGGAAAATATCATAAATGCAAGCGTGTCAGTAAGGATTGAAAAATCCTTACAGATTAATTTCAAGCCAATTATCAAGCGATTGCGTTGACGATTCTTTTGCCTCAACGAAGAGGACTTCAAAATTGCCAAGTGTAGCGAAAAGAAAAATTAAAAGAAGAATGAGGGAGACGGAGAAAGACGATTGAGTGAACAATCAAAGTAATAATTACATACCTTTACTCCTATGCTTCGAAAAGGAAGTGCATAAAATGCTTCGAAATGGAAATGCTGAAAATAAATGCTTCGAAATATAAATCTATGTTAAACTACTCCTAAGATAAGGAAAACGACAAGAAATATTGAAATCAATTATCTTTGATTATGAATTATGGATCCTTTACAATGTAGCCATGAATGGCTATTTATAGAGAAATATTTGTAGGAAAAAACTTCCAGCAATAACTACCTAATAACCACCTAAAACTACCCACTCTTCCATCTTCATTCTCATAATGCCACATAACCCTCCATGCCTTCATAACTTCTTATAACCTCCAAATGAGTAGGAGGATGCCACATGTCCTGCAATTATATAAATAATAAATAATAATAAAAATTGCAGATTTATGGTGCCAACATTACCCCCCGCGGCCCTTAAAAATGATGTTTATTTAAATTTTTGAAGGGCCGAACCAAGCACATGACTAATCTAAGCAATAAAGTGCTTCGAATAATATCAACAAAATGCTTCGAATGATGTAATAGCACCAATGAAGTGCTTCGAATGAGTATGAAATTATGACTAGATGTCTCGAATGCTAGCTATTATGGACTAGTAACAATCTTCGAAGGTGGTATAAAGGACCAAAATCATCTTTCGAAGGTTGAAAGTGTCGACAAAGGACAAATTACACCCTTAAAAATATTCGGCAAAGCTTCGAAGGTTCACAACCACCATTATTGTTTCTTCGAAGCTGTTAATGTAAGATGGAGTGCTTCGAAGCTTACAAAATTATGGCAAAAGAGCCTTCGAAGTAACTTTTGGCCAACATTGTGTTTATTCAAAATTTGTATGTTCTGGTTCATACATAATTAATAAAAATATTAATTTTGTGCTTCGAACCAATTATTAATTCTTCGAAGACACCAAAACTGTTGTTCTTCGAACCAACTTATCATGCCAAAAATAGGCATTATTCGACAACTAATTAATTGCCATTTTACATATATTTGAAGAGAGATACACATTTCGAAAGTTTTCTTGCCCCATGTTACATTTCGAAGGTGTTTATAGATAACAAAACCACCATTCGAAAGTTACATATGTTACTATAGGATTAAAGTCGTCCTTTCACTACAAAAAAATTGACTTTTTGCGACGGTAAAATACCGTCGCTAATACTCCTAATGCCGTCGCTAATACTTTTTGCAACGGCAAAAAGACTTTTTGCGACGGCAAGAGGGGGTCGCAACTGCAGGGGTTGCAAAAGAGTTTTTGCGACGGTAAGTGCTGTCGCTAATGTTTTGCGACGGCATTTTTTACCTTTTTGCGACGGCACTATGCAGTCGCTAATAATTTGAAATTTCTTGACTTTTTTGCGACGGCCCTGTTTTACCGTCGCTAAAAATGTTATTTGAGACGGCAAAAAATACCGTCGCTAATAGTCTTTTTTTTAAAAAAAAAAACACTATTTTTTGCGACGGTGTGGTGCCGTCGCAGAAAGTATAAAAAATATGAAATTTTCTATTTTTTGTGACAGTGTAATGCCGTCGCAAAAAATATTAAAAAATAATAAAATTTTTATTTTAAATAATAAAATTTCTATTTTTTGTGACAGTATAATGTCGTCGCAAAAAGTAAAACCTATAACAAAATTAAGAAAAATATTAAAATTTTCTATTTTTTCCGACGGTGGTGCCGTCTCTCACTCTCTAAGATTTGATTATTTACATTCCATTCACAAAAACAACATAACAGAAAATAAAAATAAAAATTGATCAAACCATCAAATTCAATATTTTACAAAGAATAATTAAACTGTACATGTTCGTAAAAGCATATTTAAATTATAAAATTCACCCAAATCCTAAAAAAAAATAAAATAATAAAATAAAATCTAAAATTCACCATTATTTTCCATTATTTAAAAAGGCCTACAATGAGAACTTTCGCTTTTGGAGATTATAGGGCAGCCCAAATCCAAGCATTCAAAACAAACAATAAGTCTTTCGAAAGGGAAAAATATAAACATGTAGAGGATATTGCATTAGACAAATTGATTTCAACTGCTCCAGTGACGTCTTCCAAGTAGAAATGGCCATCCTCTAACTGAGATATAACGCCCATGACCCATCCTCTAAAGAAGGAAGACAAGAACCTTTTAGATGAACAGCCAGTAGAAACAACAACAGTGCTTTTCCCGGAAAAACCAACATCAAGTCTGTTGAAAAATGCATAAGCACCAAATCAGTTCCATAGAAAAGGTTTCAGTGTGGACACAATTATGGCTCCACTGTTAACTACCAGGTACATAAAACTTGAAAAAAGGGAAAGGGCTCAGTATGCCTTGCCTTTGGGTTCCAATATTTAACAATATCTCATTCCTACAGTCATGTTTTCCGCACTCAAGCGTCATGCAGCTTATTTCACAAATTTCCACTGGGTTACGTAATTAATGTCGATGCTAATTTATGTAAAGGTTAATTAAAGAATTGACCTCTAAGAGTAACTGAAATGGTGGCTAATAAAAATTGATAGCAAAGACATGAGTTATATAAGAAAATTTTGATAGGGAATATATGAAATGATAGAACCACAGTTATCCCTGCAAGACTACCTAGAACCAACACAAAATAAAAGCTTATGCACTTTGGTTGTGCAGTTGTTCCAACAATTAAATCAGTTTGAGCCCCTCCATTACGTGCATCCTTGGAATTTTCGAGACCTGCAGACAAAAGCCAAATCCATGTTAAAAAAATAAGAAACTTAGGTTGTGTTTGGTTGTGATTTCAAATCACAATTCTACATCTTAATTCAAGCATTGTGTTTGGTTGTGATTCTCAAATGCTGTTTTGAGAACTCTGCACAGAACATCTGTGTTACTCTGCAATATCAGACGTATTGTTCCTTTTTTTTTTTTGAAATTTATGCCTTGGGGATGTCCACCTGGAAGACCACCCGGATGTCCACCCGGATGTCCTTGGGGACGGGGACGTCCACCCGGATGTCCTCTGAATTCCAGATTTTTTTTTTTTTTTTTTTTTCAATTTTTTTATATAATCGGGAAAAATATTTTTTGAAATTTTTTAAATTTTTTTTGTGCTTCAAAATAATTTTGAGTTGTATGTTTAGTTATGAGTTGTAAATTTTTGTATCACATATCAATTGTCACATCAACAATTCCCCACTCAAATCAAACCTCTTTTCCAAAATTATTTTCAAAACTCTTTACCAAACAAATTTTCTACACTCAAATCATAATTCTACAACACACAAACTCAAAATATAACTCATACTCTCAAATCACATTTACAAAACACAACCAAACGCAGGCTTAAGAGCGCAACTTTTTTGGTAGGATGTAGTGTGAATATGTAATATTGATATTGATGTCATCCAATTAAGACAATTTGTTACAAGTTTTTCATAATCTAGTTCAAGGCATTAGGCAGAGAAGAAATCATGCATTATAGAATAACCAATGAGCAATGAAATGTGTAATAACCCTTCTTTCCCCAACATCCAACATCCAACATCTATAAAGGACTAAGAAATTTGATTGGTGGATTTGTTTAACTGTTATCTGAACTACTTCAGCAGAGGTACCTAGCCAAGTGGTTCATTACTTAAAAATAGTTAGATTCCTATCAGTTCCACCTTACATGTTTTTTAAACTACAACAGGGAAATGTGTTTTAAATAACACACTCATCGCACCTCAATGACTAGTTGATCTGAGAATTTACAAAAACAACTCTCTCCCTTTTAAGTGTTTGCAATCCATGATTTGTTGTTCCTTAATAAACATAATCAGCTAAGCAAAATAGATACTTCCAATTGACATCATTGCATAGAAACTCTGTCTGAACAACTAACCCATAAATAAACCACCAATCTATAGATCAATTTGGCTCCTTGATCTTACCAGAATCTAGCATGCATTGTGACCAACCCAAAAAACCAACAACATCTGGGTATATGATAATGAAATCCAATGTGACTCCGACACAAAGTGTCAGTCATTTAGATCTAGAAGTTTGCACTTTCATAATTGATTTTTGACAGTGAAGCAAACATTAAACCATAATCAACTGCAAGTGAACTCCTAAAATTAGTCTAGTTCCACCCAGCTTCTCTGGTATGGATTACAAGACTGAAGATTCTCAAGGTCAATTTACAGAAGAAGATGAATTAAAAGTGTCAATTAATTAAATACACATCTCTAAGAGATTTCTCCAACCAACTAACGTAAAGTCAACCATCTTTGCTCTAGCACGCCTCTTAGACATGGTACTTTTTTTTCAGCAATAAGAAACAAAATGACAATGTATCAACAATTGTATGTCAACTAAACCAACTCAATTACAAATCCCATTATTACTTTTGCCTTCTATGCTATAGTTGGCTCTCTACTAGACAAAAAGTGGTGTAAAAAGCAAACCATTAACCTCTCTCAAAGTCATAAAGCCCCCAAAGCTGTTTTCAGTCCCACACCACATATATAGACAAGTTTTATAAAAAAGCAGACTATTGACCTCTCTCAAAGTAATAAAGCCCCCAAAGCTATCATAAAGAATTATGGAGACTGTGCTAATGTGTTTTGGGGAAGATTTTGAGAGGAAATTTGAACTGGAGTTCACTAACTGTCATGGTTATTTAAGAATATTCATTCATCAATTTTTGATTAATATTCATTCATAGAATCTGGTAAAACACCAGACATAAGCCAAAAAATTAGCAAAAACAAGATCAATCACCGAAATCATGTCTCTATCTATCTGTATAACTTTAAATTAGCAAAAACAAGATGAATCACCTAATAAATCAGCAAATAGATTTCATTTTCATTTTCAAACATTGTTCAAAAATTCATTAAAAGCAGAGAAATAGGTTAGTATAATGTGTCAATAATTTCCTTTTGAAGAGCAGAGTGGCATACCAGTAAATAACTAGCATAGCAAAACCACCTAGAAAAACCACTTAGAAAAACCAGTAAATCACTAAGAAAAACCACTCCAATGCTGCCCATACACTAGCACAAAACTAAAATAAACCACATTCTTCCAATAAAAGCATCTTCAACTGAGAATTCGAAAAAACAAGAAACTTTCAAACGAAGTTCAGCCTGACTAATTAGGAGAAACACTCTTTCAATTTGTTATCATGTAGCCGGTTTCATATTTTAAGCACGCGCTCGGTCATCAATCACTATGAGTGAGCTGGAAAATGCAACATACAACAACACATATACAAAAAGATAGAAACTAACTCATGAGTATACATGATCAAAAAGTTATTTATAAAAAAATGTTCAAATTTTCTTTTTTTTCCCCTTCTTCTTTGTCGTCTTTTTCTCTATCGATACTATTTGGTAGCAAAAACTTTTTTCTCTATTGTGTGTAGCAAAAATGTTTTCAAACTTTTTTTTTCTCTATCGATACTAGTACTTGCTGGTATGAGTAGCGTAGTACTAGGCAGATCTGTATGGGAAAAACAGATCAAGGAAAAAAACCAGATCAAGAAAAAAACAGATCATATATATATATTTATATATTGTAACAGATCAAAAACCCCCTATACACTCACAATGTATATATATATTATATATATGTGTGATTGTGTGTGTATGAAAGACGCGGCTATATCCATCCCTGACTACACGTAGAGAGGAGAGAGAGAGAGATCCCTTTGAAATCGCGGCGGGTGAGGGAGATCGCGGCAGGGAGGGGAAGGCATGGGGTGGGGCGAGCGTAGCAACCGTTTCAACGGCGGTTGTGAGAGACGAGAGGAGAGGGAGGCAGCACAGCAGCGTGTAAGGAGGATGGACGTCGACATGTGAGGAACGAGCACGGTAGGGAGGTTCCGGGGTGAAGGAGGATCGGCGGGTGACGGGGATGATCAGCGCCTCTGTCTGTCGTGTGAAAGAGAGAGAGAGAGGAAAGCAAACACCTAGCATGAGAGAAGAGAGAGAGCGAACGTAGAGGAGAGGAGAACGGCCTTTCTGTTTGTGTTTGTTAGTGAGTGTGTGTTCTCAAACAAAACCCGTACGCCAACGCCACAAATGTTAATAGGTAATGAATGTTTTTTTAAAATAAAAATTATTAAATTATTCTTATAAGTTGAGGAATTTTTTTTTAGTTCGATTGGTAAAGTTAAATTTTTTTTGATTTATATTTATTTTAACTGGAATAAGAAATTATTACTTTTTTTTATTGTTTGTAAACGTAGGAATACAATATTTCTCATTAAAATAAAGTTAATTTTTGTGGTCATTGACGATAAATATTTTTTGGTGGACCTTTTGTTTTTTTTTTTGATACTAAAAAATCAGAAACTATATTTGTGGTAGAAAAGATAAGGAAGTGGCCCGCTTGCGGGAGTAGTAGGTGAAAAGTGGTGGATAAGAGGTGATAATGGTGGTGGTAGTGATGGTGAAGAAGATAAGTAGTGAAGTTGTGGTAGTAGTAGAGGAGATAGAATAGCAGTGGTAGAGGAGAGGTAATGGTAGTAGTAGTGGTGGTAGTAGAGTGGTAGCGATGATGGTAGTAATGATAGTTATAGAGGTGGAGTGACAACAGTGGTAGTAATGGAATGACATTTGTAGTAGTGGTGAATGTGGTAGAGGAGATGGGTGGTGAGAGAGAGATGAGTGAGAGACGGATAGAGAAGAGAGATAAGGATAGAGACAGAGACAGAGATAGAGTGATGAGCGAGAGAGAGAGAGAGAGAGAGAGAGAGAGAGAGAGACAAAATGGTCGCTAAAAGTGCATTTTCTTGTAGTGGAGAGCTCGGTAAATAAAGAAGAGGGAAGAAAGAGAGTGAGCAAGGTGAACACAATGGGGGAGAGAGACAGATAGACAGACACAGAGAAAGAAGAGTGAGAGACAGACAAACAAACATAGAGAGAGAAAGAGAGAGAGAGAGAGAGAAGAGTGATGATTGAGAGAGAGACAAGAAAAGAAAGAGATAGAGAGACAGACAGACAAAAAAAGAGAGAGAAACAAGAGATGAGCGAGAGATAGACAAAGAGAGAGAGAAAGAGAGCGAAAAGAAATGATAGAGAAAAAAACATAGAAAAAGAGAGAGATAGAGAGAGAAGAAAGATGAGCGAGAGAGACAGAGAGAGAGATAGAGAGAAGAGAGATGAGTGGGAAAGATAGGGATAGAGAAAGAAAAAAGATGAGAGAGATAGAGAGAAGAGAGATGAGCGAAAGAGACAAAGAGAGAAAAGAGATGAGAGAAGAGATAAATGAGTGAGTAAGAGAGAGAGAGAGAGAGAACGAGAGAGAGATAGACAGGCAGACAGAGAGAGAGAGAAGAAAGAAGGGTGATAAGTGAGAAAGAGAAAGAGAAGAGAGAGAGGAAGATGAAAAAACAAGTGAAAAGAGATAGACAGACAGAGAGAAAAAAAGAGCGAAAATAGATAAATAAGAGAGAGAGACAGACAGAAAGAGATGAGCGAGAGAGTGAGAGAGAAAAAAATAAGAGAGAGAGAAGAGAGACAGAGAGAGAAGATATATGAAAGAGATAGAGAGAAGAGAGATGGACGGGAGACATAGAGAAAAAGAGAGAGACAGACAGACAGATAGAGAAGAGTGATGAGTCAGAGTGAGAAAGAGAAGAGAGACAGAGAAAGAGAGAAAGAGAGAGATTGACAGAAAGAGAGGAGTGATGAGAGAGAGAGAGAGAGAAGAGAGACAGAGACACATAGAGAAAGGGAGAGAGAGACAAACAGAGAAGAGTG